ATTCTATTCTGATATTATTTATGAATTTATTATGTATTAGCATTTATTTATTGTATTGCTTGATTATTTTAAGTTATTATTTACATTGAATAAATATACACTTTAAAATCATACATATAACTCTTAATTTTACATATATACTTTATTTCATTTTATTTTACGATAAACGTGACATGAATTTCCGTTACTATCACGTGACCCTGACGCAAATCGATAGTAACAATATCCACAGTCCCCGTGAAATAACTATTACGTTTATTATATGCATTTTTCTTACATAGAGTATCATCAGAATTATCTTTTTTTATAAAAATAATAATGCATAAGAAGTTTTTTATTTTGAATTTTCACAATTAAACATTTTTTTTTTAATCCGAATTTGAATTCGGTCGCTATAACGTAAAGATATTATTGGACAAAGCCCGATATCAATTAATACTTGGTTGACTTTTGAATTCGAGTGAATTTTATTTAAAAGTTACAAAGAGGATGATCTGCCTACCCTGCCTACCAATAAATTTAAGAATTTTTAAGAATGTAATCTCCTGACTATAAAGTAATTTCATAATAAAAATGTTCATAAATTTCCACTCGTATTTTACTTTATTTGAATCCTAAAAAATTATTTTTCATTCAATAAATAAACAAAACTGTATAAGTTTTGTATGTAAATGTTACGAAGTTTATTTTAAAACAAAAGAATTTATAACTATCTATTGCAGATTTTAAATAAAACAATCTAATAGCCAAATCTAACGAAAATTGAATTTTTCTAATCTTATTTTCATACTTATTGATTTACAGAATTATTTCAAAACACAAATGGATTTTTGAAGTTATGTTCTAATTATATGAATAATATTTTGCTCATTTTATAAAGTTTTGTGAATAAATGAAATTATTATTATATTAAATTTTTTTACATCACATTTCATATTATAATATTTTAAGCTTTATAGTAATAATTTTATTGTGGGCTTGGCTCGATTATAATGGCCGAGCTCAGCTTATTTCAAGCCAACCTAAAGTTGAGCAGAGCCAAGTCTTAGGTAGCTTGGCTCAAGCTTGACGATTTAATAGATTTTTAATTATGGATTTTGCGAAGTGATCAGCTGATGATCACCTATGCAAATATAATTTTTGCTTAGCCTCAGAGCTCGCGAACCGAGCTTAACTGATTGCAAGCCGCAGCTCGGCTTGGCTTGATATACCTGGCTCACAAGACGAGCTGGCTCAGAACCCCAAAATATACATAAAAGGTCAGGTCAGAGTTTGCGTATAATGAGTCAAAAAAATCATGTAGATCATTCCTTTTATGGATAATCCCAGCCAAAATAATATTTTCTAATTTAGATAATGGCTGAAATTATCGTAATTCCGGCCCTGAAAGAATGCGTATTTTGGACCACTTCTGGACCTGACCTCTACATATATATTTCGGGGTCCTGCTGGCTCGAGCTGGCACAGCTCGTGCGAGAGCACTATTCATAATTAAATGGTAAGAGTAATTTTTTGTTGGGAAAATATTTGCTGCAGCTTATCAGTATTAATTCAAAATTGTTGACGATTTAAATAGAAGACAATAGAAAAACAGGTTTTGATTAGAATTGATTGATTATCAAATATTCTATAAATCATTTGTTCTTTTTCTAATTACTATCCATGTACGTAATTATTGTATGACATTATTTTGATCATATTATTCATTATAAATGATTATAGTGGTAAGATAATTTTGGAATGGTTAATTTTGGATGATTAATAGATAAATATAACCAAAAAGCATCTTCAACCAATATCCTACAGCATTATTATTTATATCAAAAATTCTTCTTGATTGATTATTAAGGATAAAGTAAATTCGAGTATTTCCAATACTAAAATATTGGAAAAGAAATTTGTTTTACGTGACTTTTCTTCATTCCATTACAACTTATCTTGCTAAATTGCACATTAATTCTCACTAAATTTTTATATTACTATACTGTTGGTTACAATTATTCTATTTTATATAGTTTAATTAAAAATGTACTTTAATAATAATGATTTAATTCGTAATTCAGCAACCATATGTTAGTATCTATTTATACATGAAATTTTTAGATAGATCAGTTCATATAATTCCACATAGATTGGTTCAGAAATATATGCATTTCCATATATCCTCTCATCGAATTTGTGGATCTGTGCCGAAAATACCATGTGTTTTGCCACAGGGGTATTTGGAAAATATTACCTGATGTAAGTACAAAATGAAATCGTATACAAAATACCGTACTATAAAATTTTTCCAATTGTGCTAAAAATCATAAAATGTTATTCTTGAAACATGTATTCACTTTTTTGCCAGAAAAAAAAATTCTTTTATATTTTCGTTTTTAAGTATTACTGTAGATGCCAGCGGTGAAACTACGCATAAATTTTAACAATTTCGCCGGCTTTGATTAAACTAAAAGTTGATTTATCTAATTCTATTTACGAGTTTTTTGGAGATTCACGAAGTATAGTATAAAAAAGTAACCCGAAAATCAAACATTTGGCTTATATGCATGTGCTACACATGATCGAATTTTAATTAAAATTTTTATAAAAATTCATGATATTTTAATGTTTAAAAATAAAATAAAAATTTATATTAATTAAAATAAAGATAATAGTGATGATAATTTAACACCATAACCAATCGTTTATTCTTGTAGTATTTTTTTTAAAAAGAAATGAACGTTTAAATTGTAATTTCTCATTGTATTAATAATTTGAACCACGAATTAAAATCTTTTATTTATAGTCGTAAAATAATGATACCAAATGAGATTTTTTACAATCAAATTCTTTTCTGATGAGACTGAATTCGAAATCGACCAGGATAATACAATGATACTACTGGATAAAGCTTTGATGATAAATTATTACATGTTGATACTTCTGAATACATTGTACCATCGATTGTAAAAATGCAAGTTCTTTTATTCATATCTAAATGAACTGTAATTTTGGTATTTCCAAAATTAATAAGATAAAGACCGTATGAATCCAATACACACGCATTAGGTTGATCTCCTGCAAAGACTCCATAGTTAAATTTTTCTGAATCACATACTCCAACACTGTACCGTATACATTCTTTCTCAATAATAACGTCCCATTCATAAATACCATTATTTTCTAATATTACTTTAGCTCTAACGCTTCCCATTGGACTAATACTACTTGATCTTGATGCTCTTACAACTTTTCCATTATTCTCAATAATGAGACCTGACCCGCATGCTGACTCATCCCAATAAAGTTCAGATTATTTAATTCTATAAATTGGTATTCCTCGAACATTGTTTAAGTTTAAATCAATTGATTCTGAATTATTTCAGCTGGAATAATTTTAATGGTTCAATGAAATCAAATTGTGCTCTTTTTATTCGCTATTCGCCTGAAATCAATATATTCGATCAAAGGCTCCAATTCTTTAGCAATTTTTTGATGATCAACAATAATTTTATTTTCTACCTGTACAGAGTTTTCTGTTTGTTCTAAGGTTGGTAAATGTTTAATAACAGAGTTATACGCATCATTAGAAACTTGTTTTGCTACAAGAATAGCCCTGTAACGAAAAACTTCGTATTCTGGTGTTGCAAAAGGTATTTCTTTTTCATATGTACAAAATAAAAGATATTGAAGAGCTTTAATAGACAATCGACCAATTTCAATATTATTTAATAAAGTAGATGCTATTTCTTTGACTAATAAGTTAAGTTGAACATTACTATCTTTTGATAAAGGCATAATTTCTACAAGTTTAGATAAGAATTCTGGTGGTTTAAAAATTTTTTAATGGTTTTATTTATAAAATCTCGAAGGATCAATAATTGAAAATAATTTGCAGCATTATAAGCTTCAATCATATTATCTTCAGTTAAAGAATTTTTTTTAATTGATCCTGTATAAATATATTCTAATATAATTTCCATTCCACAAGAATTGATAGTTGGAAATGAAATTTGCTTTTCGATCTTATTATAAAGTAGTTCATCAAATACTTTAGATCTTGCTGCTAAATTATTCTATAACCATATAATTTCTTTTCATCCTTACATAGAATTTCTATATCACTATACTTTGGATTATTTATTAATAATTCTAAATCCTTTTCTAATGAATAGCTTCTCGTCATTTTTTTTGAAAAAATTTTTTTTTTTTTTTAGGAATAGAAATAGTTTTGGATTACACTAAATATTTATATATCATATGAATATTGAATAGATATTGTCTGCAGCTCTTCTATTCATACATTGTCATGATGGCTAGGTGATTACAATGATTTTCAAATGATTAATCTTTTTATTAATTTCTTTAAATAAATTAAATGTCCGAAATATTGCAATTTTACGAGGACTACTATACTTTTGGTTATCATTCAATTTAACTTAAAAATGCATTTAATATTTATTTAAAAATATTGTCTAACGACCATCATTTTGCTAGTAATGACTCAACTGATTAGTAACTATACAAAATTATTAATATTTTATTTATTTATTTCTTTTATCTTTATGGATGATGAACTAACATGATGTAATTAAGTGATTCAAAATCCGTTTATTAAGAAAATGATTAATATCTTACATTTTGATGTTAAAAAAATAAAACATGGATAATTGAGCATCCTAACCAACTGTGTTTCGTAGTTTATTTTGGTAAATTAAAATTTTTAAAAATTTCTCATTATATTAATAATTTGAATCATGAATTGAAATGTTTAATTTATAGTTGTAAAATAATATCAATAGATTTTTACGATCAAACTCTTTTCTGATGTGACTGAATTCGAAGCCGACCAGGGTATTTTAATGATACCACTGGATAAAGCTTTGATGGTAAATTATTCCAACCTGATACTTCCGGATATTTTGTACCATCGACTGTAAAAGCGCAAGTTTTTTTGTTCATATCTAAGTGAACAGTAACTTTGGTGCCATCATCAAATGGCGGACAATAAGTAATCCAACTTTCAAAATTAGCACAATGACCACCACGACCTAATACCCATCCAGTAGGTTGATCTTTTGCATGTTCTTCATAATTAAAATTTTCTGATGCACATACTCCAACACAAATGCTTGTACAGGTTTTCTCAAAAATAATATCCCATTCAAAAACAATTTTATTTTCTAAAATCGTATTAGCTCTAACACTTTCATATGAATTAAGCCAATTTGGTGCATATACAACTTTTCCATTATCCTCAATGATAAGATTTGATCCACATGCTAACTCATCCCAAACACAATTGGAACAACTTGATATGGGTACTCCTCGAGTATAATTTTTGCCGGAATTAATTAATTTTGTATTATATCGATATGCATTTAGAATAATTTTATCCGGAACAATTTTTAGTGGCTCAATGATATCAACTAATACTTGACCTTGAATTAGTCTAAAATCAATAAATTCAACTAAAGGTTCCAATTCTTTAGCAACTTTTTGATGATCAGTAAATAAATTATTTTCTACTTGTACAGAGTTTCCTAATTGTTCTAATTGTTCAAGGGTTGGTAACCGTTCCATAAGAGTTTTATGAGCATCATTAGAAACTTGTTTTGCTGCAAGAATAGCACAATATCGAAAAGCTTCATATTCTGGAGTTGCAAAGAGGGTTTCTTTTTCATACGTACATGATAAAAGATATTGAAGACCTGCAATAGACAATCGACCAAATTCAATTGTATTTAATGAAATATTAGCTACCATTTCAACCAATAAATTTAGAAGAATGTTATCTTCTAGTAATAGTATTTCACCCACAAATTTAGATAATAATTCTGGTAAAAAATTTTCTGAATGATTTTTTTCTAACGAATTTTTGATAACTTTTATAATAAAATCCTGAAGGTCTGGTAATTGAAAATAGTCTGCGGCGTAAAATGCCTCGATTATATTATCTTTTGTTAAGTATTCTTTTTTAATTGATCCTGTATAAACATATTTTAATATAATTTCCATTCCGGCAGAATTAATCTTTGGAAAAGAAATTTTGGTTTCATAACTTTCCTTCATTCCATTATAAAGTAATCTATCAAATACTTCGGACCTTGCAGCTAAAATTGCTCTACAACCATGTAATTTCTTTTCATCTTCACATAAAATTTCTATATCACTATATTTTGGATTATTTATTAATAAACTTAAATCTTTTTCTAATGAATATCCTCTCGTCATTTCTTATAATTTTTTTTTTTTTTTTTTTTTTTAAAAAAAAAAAAAAAAGTCTATTTAGAGTTCTTATTTATAAAGTTTTTGTACAAATTTAGATTTGTACTATGTCGTACATCATACGTGGCCTCATCCATTACGTACTGTAGAGTGATACAGAAAGTTGTGGAGTCCGATTGGTCAAATGAGTGGAGTATAGTCATGTGAAGTATTACAAAAATGTAATTTGCGAATCTATTATTATGTAATATATAACAAAAACTATTGTACTGTACAACTGTGCGACGTACGTGTACGTGCCTAATAATACTATAATTGAATTGTTAATAATACATTCATTATTTAAATTATTGAGTTGAATATTTTGCTTTTTCTTCGCATTTTTAATGTCTATGGCGAATACTAACTTGCCGAAGACGTATGAATGGAAGATTTTGAATACGAAATATAACATAATAAAAAAAAATTGAAATTATAATTGGATTTTAATTGCATACGACTCTTTTTAATTTTTAATTTAACAAGCTAAATAATAAAATTCTTATATTGCATACTCTACATACTTAAAAGGTTTACATACGCACTATTGAGTATAATATATTATTAGCGTAACGTAATCAACACCTTTTTTAGCACAACTATTCGTCTCAACTACTGTATTAGCCATATTGAAATATGACAATCGTGTAGCATTATCGGGTCAATTTTGATACAACTGTATTCTTTTTTTATAATTTTTCGTCTTACTATAAAGTAATTCGCACTGGTCTTCGCAAAAAAAATTATAAATATTATTACGATCTTTAGTTTTCATATGTATTAAATACAAGGTGTATTATATGATGCATTTTTTCTTACGAAAGGATTCTATCAACATAGAATGATGTGATAATACATTAGTAAATTATTTGAATTATCTTTTTTAAAATAATAATCGTGTAAATATAAGAATGATGGTATAGGAAATTTTTTATTTTGAAATTTCCATAATTAAAACATTTTTTTTATAATCTTGAATTTGAATTCGGTTGTTATGACGTAATGATATTATTTGGAAAATTACTAGTTTATTCTTGTATTTTCGGTCATTGTCCGTAAAGCGAGAAATTTTTTAATAAACAATCATAGTTAATATTCTTATACTTTCAAGATTTACTACTGCATACTACATAAATAATAATATCATATACTATTTCAGTTTCAAAAGTTTTTCACAATCATTTGAAATTTGATAATTCTCCAAAAAAATTTTGATGACGTTAAGAAAGCTGCCAATATGATAGCTCGCATATGAACTAAGATATGAACAAACGCTTATTCGTCAGTTTAGGTCTAACATTTAGTCTAAATTATATCTAGCTTTCCATTATCCTCAATAAATTTTGATCCTCATCTCAAGTAATAATCAATAATCGTATATTGGCGTTAGTATCACTCGTATATTATTTAAATTTTTATTAAAAAATTATTTAAACCTAATATTTCAATTATATTAGTTTCTAGCGGCTCTATGATATCAACTACTAATACTTGATTGACTTTTTGATTCAAGTAATTTATATTTGAAAGTTTGCAAGGCTTACTAAAAAATGCAACGTATTAGTTGCTACTGACTCGACTGATAAATTTAAAAATACTATTTTCCGATAATCCACAACTTTAATTAATTATATACAATTTCATAAATTTCAAATATTGTAATATATAATTATAATAGCTAAGGTTTAGTATTATGTTCAGTCACGTATAAAACGTGGCGTTAGTAGATAGTGTATATTTATCATATACTATGCATTTCTAATCTTATTTTATAAATTTACATAGAATATAATAAAGAAATGCGTGTCACTAACAATTAAAGGAAATAAAAATAATTATAACAGTTGAGGACTTTTCTTGATTGATCTGGTATAATCCGTCTTGCTAAGAATTAAAAAATTATTTAATTAAATGTTAATATTGTATTGAACGAATATTTTTAAATAAATATTAAGTGATTCAGAAGTTTCGAAAAGTTTAATGTTAAAAATAATATAATAATGATGATAATATAAATAGTTGAATAAAATAATACATGATGCTAAGAAATGGATGACAAATATCATAAAGTGACATAAACCTTATATAATTATAATACTTCCCCCAAACATACCCCTAACACATTGTTTCTTGCAGTTTGTTATGATAATTTAAATTTCGTTAAAAAGATTTGAATGTAATTTCTGCTCATTAAATTAGTTTAGAAAAACATTATCCTCTGTTAGTGACATTGTTTTCACAACTTTAGATAATAATTCTGGTGAATCGTAATTCTTTTCTATATTATTATCTTTGAAAATTTTCTTAACAAATTCCTGAAGGTTAAATAATTGAAATAATTCGCAGTATTAGAATCGAAAATTCAATTATATTGTCTTTTGTTAAAATTCCATCCTTAATTGATCCTGTATAAGTCTATTATAATTTCCATGGCAGAAGAACTAATTTTTGGATTTTCATAACTTTCTTTATTCCATTATAAAATAGACTGTGAAGCACTTCGAACCTTGTAGCCAAAATCATTCTACAATCATATAATTTCTTTTCTCTCTCATAAAATTTCTACATCACTATACCTTGGATTATTTATTAATAACCTTAAATCTTTTTCTAATCATATCGGCTGATTGGAAAAATCAAGCCAATTAATATTTAAGCTCAGTTGATGGGTTCATTATATAACTGATGGGTTACTTATTGTCATTAGTGTATAAAATTATGGGGAGGCTTTTCTGATCAGCCGATATGTGAATATTCTCTTGTCATTTTTAAAAAAATTTATTTAAATGATTGTTTTAGGGACTTAAATTTAAATTCCTTGTTAGTTTATGCTCGCGTATAAATTTAGATTTGTTCCATGTTGCACTATACTATGGGAAAAAATATATCCGTCATTAGTACTAGCTACAAATGTACGCCTTTAATATATCTGATTGTTTAACTATACTACAACGCTTTAATTTGTTAAATATAAATGATAATTAAAAATTAAAAATGATAAAATATTATTAATTCTTATACACTTCCCTATAAGAAATATGTATACGGAAAGGATACGTTTTGTATACATTTTATGTACGTTTTTATAGATTCCGTATACAAATTCCGTATATTTAATAAGCAATTCATTTTGAACATTTTTTAAAAAAACTAATGTATACGGAAAAAATTAATCATGCGGAATGTATACGGAATTTTTAAACTTAAGATAATTTTACCCATCATAACACAAGATCACATGATTGTTTATTGTTTTGTTATGATACGTTTTTTGTTTTTTATATAAACCCTTACTTTGATGAGTTTGATCTTCCGATCTTCCTTTCTGTCTTTCCTTTCCTTTCTCTTTCTCTTGTCTTATTTTTGTTATTTTTTCTAGATTTTTCTTCTTTCTTCGTCACCCCCTTTTAAAAATAATTTTTTTTTTCGTACCTCACTTTAAAAAAATTTTTTTTTCGTTCTCCTTTGAAAAAAAAATTTTTTTCGTCACTCCCTTAAAAAAAAATTTTTTCTTTTATTCCCACTCTTCTTTTTTTTTTAAAAAAAATTTCTTCTTTCTATTTCTATTTCCTCTTTATAAAAAAATTTTTATTTTTCTAACTTTGACGTCCTCCCTTTAAAAAAAAATTTTTTTTTAACTTTCCTAACTTCGTTATCCCTCTTTTTTAAAAAATATTTTTTTTGGTTTATTCTTTATTCCCCTTTCTTTTTTATTTAATTTCATAGGCCAGCAGATTTTTTTTGTGAGAATATTCAGTTTCTTTTTT